CTTCTTTGTCCCTTCTTCTTGTTGTAATTTGAATCTCACCTTCCTGTCATTGTTCACAGAGGCATCCGGGTGAACTGAGGAGCCTGCCAAGTTTAAACATACAGACCCATCAGTAGATTCCAACAACCACTTTTTAAATTCAAGTTCTAGATTAAAAATAAAACAATAGAAAGACTTTCATGTGTAGCAGCATGCAGTTATGTAACCAAACTCTAATCTTGTGTTAAGCATGAGTTCCAAGACATATGAAGAAGACAATTCAGTGCTTGGTCATTTTCTTTATTTCTTTTGCTCACCCCACCCAATACATCCAACCTTTCTGGCTGGTTGATAGGCATCCGAGTGCCACCACCTTCCTGCAGAAAACCCTGAGGATGCCAAAATGACATCCACACAATGACATCATCATGCCAATGCTGACTTTACATACTTACGCCTGGCATCTGATGCAAGTACATGAGTCAGGTCGTATAGGGGATGATGTCATCATGTACGTGTGATCATTCCCCACCCCCACCCCCACCCCCCATGGATGCCCATGACCACCATTCCTTTATCTCTGGCCTTAACGATCTTTGTCTTTTCTAAGGTTAAGCATGTTGTCTGACTTTGGATCATCCCCACCACATTGAGCGAGAACTAACTGAAATTTGAAACCAAGAAGTAATCATGATTCAAACAAAGAAACATGCTTAACCTTAGAAAAGTTTTTTTGGTGTTGCTTCTCCTTTGTTGGGTCAAATGTGCATTCATATTAACCAGTTAGAGTAGTTCATAATGCTATAAAAACAAACAAAAAAAGTCTACCTTTCACAATTTTATCTTCAGTGCAATCTTGTGAGACAGGTTAGGCAAAGGGAGAGTGCCTGGAGTAAGATCTGGCAAGTGTCAGGGCTGCATGCAGATTTGAAAATTGTGTATTCATTACTTTATATACAGAATTTATTTTTATTATCTCACTTGACTGGGATTCTAGATGATGTATCATATCCATATTAATAAAGCAATAGAATAGTAATATAATATATATATTCTAATATTGAGTAATAAAATAATTCTGGTGCTCAGGACTCCAGGCTGATCAATCCCAAAGCCAAATTTTTCAAAGCTCCAAGATGATTATGAGAGTGGGAACCACTCTTGCCTGGAGAGGGGGGGGGGATCTACTCTGAAGGAGGGGAGCCCTTGCAGAGAACATCTGCCATCAGTTCTCTCCAGTTGTCCCTGATACCTACACTAGACTGGCTTCATATTAAGGGGTTCATCTGATTGCTTTACTTGTTTATCAGATTTGTATACCCTCTAATTCTTAACAGACCCCTAGCAGTTTACAGCATGGCCAAATAATAATACATAGAAGGCACAATACACAAAACATTTTTTTGTTCCAAAAATCAGTGCTAATGTAAATAAATCAGTAAATAATTCTATTCAATTAAAACAGAGCAAACCAATAATAACCAATGGCAGCTCAATTTGTAGGAAGCTGCATGAGACAGTTGCTTGGAGGACCCTTCCACACACAAAAGCAGCACTGGTTCCATGTCTGAGCCACCCTTTGGTTTCCCATGACGCTGCAGGGTTTTTGGCAGGCTTGACATGCTGAGCCAATTAACTTTAATCAGTTCAGCTACTGCTCCACAAAAAAAATAAAAAATAAAAAATCAGAGAAGACAGATTTGCTGCATTTCCTCTGAAGCTGAGCTGCAGGGAGGTAGTTCCTCTTTGGCAGAAGCCCACATTCCTTCCTGACTCCTGAGGTTTCTTCTCAGATCCTGCCACAAGGGCACTCTGACATCTTTTTGCCTTCCCTCTGCTGCTTTCTAGCAACTCGCAGGGGTGGATTTGCCGCATCTCTGCGCTGGGCTACTTTTTAATTTTTCTCCAGGGTGAAACAACAAACACAGGGAGGGAAGAACAAGGAAAGGGACAGGATGCCAACTCTCAGCCCCACACAGCTGGGCAAGATCAGGGAAGCAAGAACTACGCCCAATTTAGAGAAGTATCTTTAAGGCTGGCATAGTGTGGATACTGAATCTTCGAAACTGTAAGAGGAATTTCCAACCTTCATTTACAGTGAATTTAATTTAGAGTCTAGCTAATCACCATTTTTAGCCATCATCTATCAGCCAGCTAGAGAGAATATCAGTCAGCTTAGGGGAGTATGAAGAAGCTCTATGCAGCAACACACAAATGCCAGTGCTGTGAAAGCAGTGTTGTTTCCCTGCTTCTCCAGTCACAGTCTGTGCACCATCATTTTTTTAAAGAGAGAAAGAGGAATAGAAATGCCATTTGAATTTCAAAACCATCCAATGCACTGTAACTCTAGAGCTGAGGAAATCACTTCTGGTATAAGATGTGAGTTGAGCGTGAGATGAAGCATCACAAGGCCAGTTTGCCATACCCTAAGTTCTGTAAGTAGGTAGAGGGAGAAGCCAGTCACTCTGCATCTCCATTAAAAGATGCTTCTAAAAATAAATCATGTCTATTAAGAAGACTCATTCTCTATGGATACTGTAGATTCTTTATGTAGCCAAAATAGCACTATCCATGCACACAAGATAGAGATTGGCTGGCTGGGGAAGTTCAGAGATTTGCAGACCTACAAAATACTTTTTAGAGAGGGAAAAATAACCTGAATGGAGAAGAGGAAGAGCAAGAGAGAGGAAAACACAACATTGACAGATGCAAAGTGAACTCATAGTGTTGATTAGCTGTTGAACCAGGGAAACTATTGGAGTGAAGTTTCTTTTTCCTGAAAAACAGCACACTAAAATGAGATTCCCCATGAAAGTGTTCCATGCTGCAATATTTGGATGGCAGATCTCCTTTATATTTCTACTGTATGTGTCTATTTATTTAAAATTATAAAACTATACACATCCCTTTCCACTTTCCCTCATTTCCCATTTCCCATTCATGATCTGATAACTTGTTAGAGATTTTTCAAATGTTGGTTGCTGATCTACACACACACACTCACACACACAGAGGCATCAGGGGTCATGGATGTATAAGCTCTATATTGGGCAATTATGCCAACTCCTAAAGCAATAACATGAACATTATATGGTATAGTTTTTGCCTCCTCTTTTTCTTGTTTGGGTTTGCTTCTCCAACTGCAGAAAATAATCTATCTGCTGATTCAAATCATGTGTTTCACTTGCTTTTGTTAAACTTCAGTGCGTGTGCCTGTACCATAACTGAATCAGAATGCTTGCTTCACTAAGGAACACTAATATTGAGCCATGCCAATGATTAAATAAGGATCATGGAAACAGACAAACCAAGCATTTAGTGGGCATGACAAGAAGACCTGGTGTCTGAGGGTAGGGAGGTCACGAAAAGCTAGATGTAATTTCATTAGAGGGTTTGAAGCCCCACCCCTTTTGTATGTGCATCAACATCACATCCAGGATTTAGATGGCACTGCTGTGAGAACCATCCTGCCTTTTTTGACACACAGACCCCAACTCTGGGCAATGACACAATGACATAATATATGGGATTGGACTGAAATTTTCAACTCTTTCCCATTCCTTATGTTTGGGAAATTTCTTCCTCTTCTTTTTTAAGGTAAAATAGGTACATCATACCTATTTTTCTTCTTAATTCTTCTTTTAAAAAGCTGAGGCTGGGAGCTCAATGCAGTCTATAGACTCCATAATTCCCAACCCTTGATTAAAAGCATGGTAACAAGAAATACATATGCATGCTGTGAGCAGGGCATCTTTCTTTCTTATGATTTTTTTCCCACTTGCACCTAACCATAGCACATGCGTGGCATGATCATTTCTTTTTTCTGTTATGTCCCCATGACCCTTACTTCATCTCATCCCAACCCATAAGTGAGATGGGCTTAAGTTATCTTTTGTTTATTGGAATTGAAGTAAAATTAAACTAGTATTTTCCCCTTATTCTGATACTGCCTCAAGGTATAAAATCTGTTATTTTGAAAGGAATCAGGTGACTGGCATAAACTGGGAATAAGACAATAGAGGTAGGGTACAGACAGTACATTAGATGCCTGTCTAGTTTCCCTCCAGCTCAAGGGTTGATGGAGAATATTTTAACAAGGTAATGGGGGAAAGGTTTTATTGTGTAGCCTTAGACTCTAATCCTATGCATACTTACCTGGAAGTAAGCCTTGCTGAACAAAGTAGAACTTATGTCTGAGTAAGTAGGCATAAACTTTCTTACCCAGTAGGAATTTGGGAGCAAAGCTGTGATGGAAGCTGTTAGTCAATGGATGCTTGAAACAAAGTCTTCCTGGCAAGGATGAACCAATTCAATCACCAGGGGGAAAAAAACTCAATTCAGAACAACACGTGGGGACTTCTTAGTAAATTTAAATTGGGACAGAAAACATAACCTCTGAAATC